TTAGTTGGCTTGACAAAAAGAGAGTTTAAACCAACGCTCCTAGCTCCGATCTGGTGCCTGGACACCTACATATATATAGAAACAGTGAGCTAAAGCCCAGTGAATAACATATGCGTAAAGAGGTTAGGAATGAATGTCCTTTCAGTATTTAAAACAGTCATTTGAACAGTATATCAGTTATTCAATCATAGCAGTCATAAGTGGTACATCAAATAGCAAAACAGTGCAGTAGGTCTTAACAGACCGAACAGTCAGTTGATGGCCATCATATCAGCAAACAGTAGTGGTTCCAAACATGGGAACCGACAGATATCTCTGTGACAATAGCAGTACAGTACAGTAACAGTAAATTGCTAAGGATGCCACGAATACAGTTCGCAAATAGGACAAGCATTCATTTAGTAAGAAATATCATTTCAGAAAGTAGTACAGCTGATCATTCAGAAAATATTCATGATTGAATATATCTTTACAACATTGTTACTCACAGAGCACTGGGCTATAAGCAGCTAATGAGCGTCCTCGGATGCCAACCCTACACAGTTACAGAATGAACACACACTGAGTTACACACTTGGGTTTGAAAACTTAACCCCTAACTTGACTTGGTGTGGTTCTACATCAATATCCTTCTTAAGATGCCTTAAACATGCCCTAGGAATGCCTAGGATGGAAAGAGGATACAAAGATGCACTTTAAAACACTTTTCAAAATTTGCTAAAACAGGGGTCCACGCTCAAGCGCGGCTTTCTACGCTCAAGCGGACATGCAAACAAAGGATCCCCGCTCGAGCGTGACCTTGCTCGCTCGAGCAGATTGCAAACATAGACAAAAGTACTGGATGCATGCAATTCACGCTCGATGGGCGCTCGACCTCCGCTCGAGCGTGAGACACAAGTCCTCACTCGAGCGTGCATTCTCTCGCTCGAGCGACCTGTAAACATATGAAAAGTAGTGGATACACGCATTTCACGCTCGAGCATTCATTTTCCTGCTCAAGCGAACTGCATGAACCCAGAGTTTACGCTCGAGCGTGAAGTCTTACGCTCGAGCGTAGGTCCAAATTCTGGAATTTCCAGATTGAACCTCCAAGCTCAAAATCAACTTTTAAAGCATCAAATCCTATCCTTTGGACTAATTTTCTGGAAAACACTTTAAAACTCATAATACAACATGTTTCATAGATCAATTTGTAAAATCAAAGCCCAAAGGTAGTTTATTTAAACACAAATTCAATAATAACTTCATGAACATGAAGAACAATGCAAATTCAACACATACATGGGTTCCTAGGAACTCCAATGTTCTAAAACAAGATCAAATGCAAGATTTAACTTCAAAACATAGTGAGTTCATGGATCAAGACCCAAAATATGAACATGCAAGTAGAAATTCTCATGAAACAACTTCAAAACTCACCAATGTGTATGCATGCATGATTCAAGCTTCAATTCAACAATTAAAAACCAATTCTAGACTTAGATCACTAATGGCTTATGGACCACGCAAGATACAACTAGAATTCAAGTTCAAGAAGATGATTCTCCTACCTTGGGTCTTCAATTTCAAATCTAGAAGCTCAATTATGCAATCTACTCTTCAATTCTTCTAGTTCCCCAAGTAAATCTATGTGAACTCAATTTCTTCCAACTCTCTAGCCCTCTCTCACATTTTTGGTCTCTAGAGGAAATGAAGATGATGCATGTGATATGAAACTAGGCTCTAAACAATGTGTAACAAAGTGGCCCACTAAAATGGTAGTTTGGTAATTAACCTTAGTTCAATAATTTAACATTATTTAATCTAATTTAATCACTCCAAATCACATTTCAATTAAATATATCATAAAATCACATAAATTCTAATTAACATGAAACACTAATCGATTTCAGATTCGGCCGCCGAAAAGGCCTTCTATTTGCAATTTGAAATCAAAACATGAACAGATCAATTAACAGTCAAACAGATAGAAATGCATTTAAACTAATACACTAACTCAATCAGTTCAGAATTTCAGTCAAATTAGTTACTTATCATGTTCAGTCACAGTTTAACAGTAATCAGTGGTGAGGGTTGTCACAGAATTTTTCCTAAAATTTCTTGCGGGAAAAATTAAATTTTGAATTTGAATTCAAAATTGTTGTCCAAACAATTGTGTCTCTTCTTTTATTCCACAACAGGTTAATATAGTCCAAACAGAGCACCCGAACAGATTTAATTTCGAAACTGTCTAGGCAGTTTTAGAACAGGTATATAACTGCTGCAGTTACCAGCAGTTAATCTATTGAATCTGTTGCAAATCTGTTTAATTTCAAACAATATCTGTTCAAAATCTATTTCACACCTGTTCACCACTTTTGCACCTGTTCGGACAGGAGCTTTTTTGCCTATAAATACCTACTATTTCAGCAGTCTTTTGGTATCCGAAAATATTAGTCTGAAAATTCCTTTTGCTGTCCAGATTTTCCTTTGTGCATTTTTCTTCATTCTAATTTTAAAATAAATATTCAGAAAGTTAGATCATAGGTTTGGTTCGCCGAACAATTTGTTTTAGAGTGCTACTACAAATTGTTTAAGATCATTGTATCCTGGGAGATAGACGCCACTCAACTGTAAGCACCATAGCGGGGCAAATCTGTCTTAAGGACAGAGTGTCACACACTCGACTTGGTCTTTGAATTTTTAATTCAGTTCAATAAATAAATTTGGTACGTTATTTATTTATTTTGTTTGATTTTGTTTCCATTTATTTTATTTACACAGAAGATTGTTTCAACACTCATCACATCGGGCCTCAACACTGTAGGGTCTATTGTCAACATGTGTTTTGTGGATAGGTATGGAAGAATGAGGCAGATGATTATATGTTCGGTATTATTTCTTGCTTTTTGGTATTGTCCGGTGTCTTTTACCAAGCTTCTGTCAACGCTTTGAAGATCAACAAAGATGAATCCATCGCTTTTGGAAACTCTACCTATGCAAGCTATCTAACTGCTCCGAATGCGGGGTCTTGGAATTGCATGACTTAGTTGAATTGGAATATGGATTCTGTTCAAATGGTGTTAACCCAATAAGTTTTTTTTTTTTTACCCAGTAAATTTGCAAACCAGAGAAATTTGTGCAAACCAAATAAATTTCAATTTGGAGACCACTACTGAGATTATTGTGGTGGTAGAAGCATATCATTTGTGCAAGCGAGGCTCAAAGCATATCATTCATGAAGATTGTCAACTAATAACCTTTGTTTTTTTTTTTTTTTGCAATTGTTATGATACCCTTCAGGCCCACCAAGAGATTTGGCCTAAACAAAGAGAGGTTTGAAAGCTTAGCATTTCTGAATCTGGCAGAGTGTAGTTTGTTTCATTTGGTCATTTATTAGTAAGTTTTCTTTTATTATTATATTTTTAATCTTAATCTTTTTTTCTTGTCTGTGTGATTTTTCCCTTTTATTTGGATTCAGATGTTACAGTTAAGTAATTAGTTTAATGTGCTATTATGGGACAGTGATAAAGCTTTGGTCCAGTGGTAGTAGTGGTGGTGCTCCATGGTGGAGTTACTGGAGTGTTGGCATTACAAATATAATTGGCCCAGCTATGGGGATTGAAGCTTTAAAGTACATCGGTTACCCTGCCCAAGTAATTTCAATTTGTTTCCATAGTTAACACTTTCTATGCAACTCTTTTTATCTATTTGTTGAAAGTTTAGCCTTTCGCCATTGTCAATATCACTTGGGGAAATTTTATGATTTTGATACAATTTTTATAGTTGACACTTTCTATGCAACTCTTTTTATCTATTTGTTGAAAGTGTAGCCCTTCGCCATTGTCAATATCACTTGTGGAAATTTTATGATTTTGATACAATTTTTATACCCAATGATACCAAAATCTCACAAGTGAACCAATAAGCCAACCTCTCTACAATGTAAACAATCAAGGATAATACCCATTTTCAAACCATAGTTAACCTATCAGGCCAATGAGGGGCCATTGCTTGCTCTGCAATGGTGAAAGTTTAGGTTGTCAAGTGTGAGGACATGGGTTGAATAGGAGTTTGGTTGCTTTGAATCTCAATAATGATCTGGTCAGGCTTGTGCTCAGTCCTTGGCACCCACTATTTCTTTAATTTAACCAACACTGGGTGATAGGCTTTAGTTGATTGAAAGGTAAATTGTCTACCCTATTTCTTTAATGCTCTGTTCGATCAGGCTCGAAAGATTCATCTATCAGCTTCCGAATCTGGCATTGATCAGGTATATATGAATGTATTGATGTAAATATTAGAGTATGAATCTCTGATTAGAGTGCTTGATATATATTGCTATGGAATCTCTTAATATAGTTAACCCATGAACCAAACAAAATATAAAGAAAATGAAAATTTCAGTGATATGAAAACTAACCTGATTGGTTTTACCTTTCTTGCCCGTTCATTTGTAACATTCTGCATAAAAACATTTAGTTATATGTCACAGGCTAAATTTATAGCACAGTTTAACCAGCCTTTGAGCGAAAGTTTTTTACCTTTAGCTGCCCCAAACCGGATGAGACATTAACAATTCTTGCAGAACTAGAGAGCTGAAAAAGTGGAATGAGAGCTTGAGATAGCTGTTTAGGTCCGTAGTAATTTGTTCGTAGACACCCTTCTGCTGTTTCATAGGTTTGTTTTATAACCTTTTTCGCCATTTCAACTTTGTTTTATAACCTTTTTCGCCATTTCAACCATCTCACCTACAATATATATCATTTTTAGAAGATTAAAATCCTTGATGTATGCAATAAGCATACATTTTTTTTGTTGAAACCCAGTATCTGGTAAAAGACTTACCTCTCCAGACTTAAGCTTTAAACTAGTGAAAGACTCCGCATCCATTATGACTCCGCTGACCCCTGCGTTGTTCACCTGCCAAGAATTTACATCCATACATGTTAGTGAACAATTACCCATTAGATAGCTATAGATAAAATTAGTTTCAATAATTTAGTTTGTTTCCAATCTTACCATTATGTTGAGCTTTCCGAATTTATTTTTGATGTAATCTGCTAAAGATAACATTCAAAGGCCCAATTCCGGGTTCTTCTCGCAATTCTTCGTCTGCTTCGACTTCAAATTCTTCTATCCAAGTCCAATCTGGTAATTTCATTAATTACCCACTTTCATACTTGTATTTTTGAACTTGATCATGATACCAATTTGCCTATATATATGTTTGTTTTGTGATAGACTGTTAAAAAATAGCAAAAGTTCAAATTTTTCCTCTTCAATTGCTAGCTAAATAGCTTAACAAAGTTGGTCAGAATCGTTATTTTTTTCTTGCCTTCAAACTGTTTGATAAAATGTCTCTTAGGAATTACTCAGTGTAAAACACCCTTTTGGACTTGTCCCCTATTTGGGATGGAGGACAAAGTCAAAGTTAAATAATTCTAATAATACAATTGATTACTAAGCAAAGCACATAACCACATACTTGGATTTTCCTAAATAGGCAATAAATAATATCAATATTGAACCCTTTCTTTTTGGTCCTTGACAGAAAATGATGAGTTTAATCTCCATATAGTAATAAGGAATCTGAAAAAGACTTGTTAATGAAATTGACTAACTAGTCAAATGAAGTTTATAAAATTCAGTAAAGTACATGGAGGTCAAAAGATTAAAAGTAATAATGAGTTTATCATGAAAGATAGAAGAAAGCAATATATAAAACAAAAAGAAAAGCTGTGTTTTTTCTTCTATGCAAGTCAATAATTCATAGAAGGTGGAAGGTGTACTAGTTCTTTTCAAGCGGCCATCATCATTGAAGCACTTGGAATAGTTTGCAAGAGGGTTTATTGCTTCAGTCTCACTGCTATGTCCTTTTGGTTAGGATTCTACTTGCAAGTAGTTCCTGATACCATGCCTTTAGTATTGCTAGTATATGTCTTATTATTTAAGTAATATTTGTTATTTGCATTCAAACTTGTTATGCTATTATATATCTACAGTGCCTAAAAGGAACAGATGTTATTTGTATGTTGTTTTAAAAACTTGATGTAGTGATTCTTGCAATATTAGTGGAGCTAATGATCCTAGTGGTTTGATCATGTAGATACAGTTGCTGTCGAATATAATGAGTGGAAAGATTATCTTACAGTTCTCCCATTTGTGGTAACTGTTGTAGCATCTGTGTCTTTGATTTCTATAACTTCTAAGTTGATCCATGCAACTTCAGGATCCTCAGCCCACACGTGTGATCCGACTATGATGTTTACAGTAGTTCCCTGGATCATTGAAGAATCACAAAAAAGGTAATGTGACCATTGTTTTACAGAGAATAGATTGATCGAGTTAGTTGAAAATGAAGAAGATGAACCATGAAAGCTTACCATGATTGTGATTCTTCAATGTGATCATCTAATGCAAAATGGCAATGCAGAGAAGCCAATGGATTTTTGTTGTCTAGAGAGAGAATGGCAGTGCTAGTAAGGAATGATGGAGTGAAGATTTGCCGGAAATAAAAATTAGACAGAATGTTGAAAAGAAGAGGAAATTCCAGTGGTGGCAACTCAAAAGAAAAAAAGGCAGAGATGCTGACTTGGCACCTTTTTTTTTTGCTCATTCGACACAGGATGCTAACTTGCCACCAAAAGAAGCATGCCAGTTGTGTGTAGGCAACCCAAAGAATTCATGTGCAGTTGACGCAAGGGATAGTTTTTATGTTAATGCTTATTGTTGCAGCCATCTGATGAGTGGACCTTTTGCTTTGCCAATGTTGAAGGCCTTTGGGTTCCTAATTATGGTTGTGCATTGCTAATGCCAAGCAGTGGGGATTACTAGTTGTCATTGGAGTGGTTATAAAATTATGAAAGTATCTTATTACTTAAATAATTTGACATTAAGTCATTCCTTTTTGGATGGTTGGAAGTTAAATGGATGTAAATTTTGAAATGATTGATAATATATGTATTGTTTTGTTTATATACATGGTATAGGTTGCACAGAATACATACAGGTTATGGACAAATTAAAAAAAATAATAATATCATGTTTTTGGCCACTAAATAATTGGTAGCCAAAAAGGCAGTAAATATTTTTAGTGACTAAATAGTTAGTGGCTAAAAAAAATAAAATGAATAAAAAAACTTTTGGTGACTAAAATTTTAGTAGCCAAATAAAAATAGACTTTTGGCGACTAAATGTTTTAGTCGCTGAAAATGCGACATAAATTTTTTTTGAAAGCTTTTGGCAACTAAAAGATTGGTCGCTAATTTAGCCTATCAAAGACTAAAGTTTTTTTGTCGCCAATACCTTTACTTTTGGCGACTGCTTGTTTAGTCGCCAATTTAGGACTTTCGGCGACTAAAATTTTTTTAGTCGCCGATACCTTCACCGACCGTCTTTCTGTGACCAAGTTGGCAACCAAACTATTTAGTCGGGAAAACCTTTTGGCGACTAAAAATATGACTTTTGGTGACAAAAAAATTAGTCGCCAAAAGTGCAATTTCTTATAGTGTGCTAGCTGATGGATTTGGATTTATTTCTCAAATCTGACTCAATAGTTTAATTATTGTGGAGTTAAATGATGTGCATAAGAATAACAATTGATAAGACCACTTGTTTAGCCTAGAGTTAAAAACACACTAATTAAAGTATAAAAATTAGAAGCCTAACAAACAGTTATATGGTGAACTAAAGTAGTTGACTATGGAACAAAACATTTAGTGTACAAAGTTGACCCAATTCTTTGTGTTTGTGTGTGTGGAAAATGTGAAATTGGTGGATCTGAAAGTTGAGGCCAAAATCTAGTGAATCGAAAATTAGTTCCCTGTTTTTATCTCATGTTGATTTATTCTGTTAATGTTTCTTAGTTCACAAAGGTTCAATTATTACATTTGACTTGAATTTAACAGCCAATATTCTTGTTGAGAAACAACTACAAATCAATATGGCATAAAAGTCACTGTTGTTCGTCAAATGGAACTCATTCTGAGTCTCAATTTGATAATTTGAATCATTTACTTTTTAGAGTACACTGAGTAAATTATACTTGAAAAAAATCAAATTGATTGGATATCAAAAATATTTTTATCAAATCACATTTGTATCTTAAAAAAAATTACGGGTAAGTATGATTTTAAATATAAAACTTAATTCAAATATTATTTTATGAAAAGGCTAATGATATCCAATCAACTTAATTTTTTTAGGTACATACTACTCAATGTACTCTAGAAATGAATGATTTAAATCACCAAAATAAGATCTGAAATAAGCCAAATTGAATGCGTAATAGTTACTGCTGTGCACAAGATACAATCACCACCCTTCATAAGCATGGGAGTAGAGGACTACCGAACAATATAAGTTAAATGTGTTAATGTGAACACTTATTATGTCCTAAGTTAAATAATACTATTTATTTAAGTGTAGTAAAGAACAACAACCAAAATCTTTAAAAATATCTCAATCAATTCTCTTTCATGCCACATTTGAAACAAAGGTGTTCTAGCAATTAATCAATGACAATATTTTTTTCACTGATTAAATTTTTATTGAGGTTTGGTTAACAATTATGATTAATGAGGGCTTATACATAATAATATTTGTGTGAAATGAAAAATGAATTGTTAATTCACACTCTATTCCTTGTTATTCAAAAAAACCTTATCATATATGGTTGTGGGACAATGGTTACCTAGCTTTGTCATCTCCTCTGCAAATGAATTTTGGTGGTATAACAACTAAGATTATAAATTAAAAAAATGTCATCTGTTGAACTCTTATTATATCTCATTATTCGCGGAAGTAAAAAAAGAACAAACAAATATAAAGACGGTCCCAAAAGCTCTATAACATTTGACACCTAAAAGCTTGGTAACCTAAGGAATCAAGTCTCATTAACGCCTTGTAAATTCTTGTATCTTTACATTTAACTTGTGTTACAAGAGCAGCTTTCTCAAAACTAAACAAAAACAACACTTACCCTTCTTTTACTTACATACCAATTCAATATTCATCTTCAAAATTAGATCCAACCAATAGAGGAAAAGGTGGGAGGAAAAAATGATAAGACAAATAGGAAAATGATGGTTTATTAAATTAAAACAAGAGAAGAAATAATGCAAATAGAGTGACTTAAATCCAAGACTTCGCCAACATAGACTCTAATATTATGTTAGATGACTACTTACTTAAAATATTTAAATTGTTAGAAAATGAGAAAAACAATACATATCAAGCTATCTACCACTTAAAGCTGAAATTATATTGAAATTGTATGACAATGGGTTACATGAAATGCACAATCATGAGGACCACAACTTTCATGGAATAAAAGTTAGACAAAGGAAACAAGACATCACAACAACAAAATCCTCCAACAATCAAGTTTAGCCATTTGTGTGTATGTGAGATAGATAGATAGAGAGAGAGGGGGAGAGAGTAAACAGTTGATATTGTTGGAACAACCTTCTGCGTAAATTAAATAATGAAACAAATCAAACTAAATAAATAAATTACTTGCCGAATTTATTTTATCAAATCAAATAAAAATTTAAAAGATCAAGTCGAGTGTGTGACACTTTGTTCTTAAGATAGATTTGCCCGCTACAGTGTTTATTGAAAAATGGCGTCTATCTCCCAAGATACAATGATTTTCACAAATTATAATAGCATTCCAAACAATTTGTACGGCGAACAAAAACCTTATGTTCTATACTCTCTTTAAAATTTCCCTAAAATAATATGATGAATATATTATGCATGAGAGCAAAACTAGAAGGAAAGTAATGAATTTTTAGATCTTCCAAATCTGCTGGAATTCCATGGTATTTATAGGGCCAAAGGTGACTATTCAAAAATTCTAAACAGGTATGCAAACTGTCAAACAGGTACAATTATGAAACTGAACAGATAGTTTCGAATTTTAAACAAATCTGTTAACTGCAGTAGATAAAAAATTGCTGGGCAATTTTCCCGAACTGTTTGAAAAGTTTGAACATGTTGAGATTGGACCAGTGAAGGTTTGTTTGGACTGAAAAATTTTGGCGCAAAATTACATTAATTTCGTTCTGAAATGCAAATAAATTTTGTCCAAAAAATTAATGTTAGAACCTACTCAACCCACACCCGCGCCAGGCACGGCCGGCCGATCGGACGGACTACAACGGCGGCGGCGGCGCGCTCACGCGTGTATGGTGGTTTGGGCTAAGGTTCACTTTGTTCATAACTTCTCCCTTCTACAAACTTGGGGTGTCCCTTAGGGTCCAACCCAAGTTAGTACACCAAGAGCTTATATACTCACAAAAGCTCTCTTAAAGTTTCAATGTGGGACAACCCATTTCAAGGAAACCCATATTTACTTCTTTAATTATCCATTTCTACGAACCCGAAAATGACGTTAACTTCCCATTCACTCATAAATGGTTTTGATGAACTGTCTTCACCCTGTGACTTGCCACGCGACAAGGAACGCATCACCTCTTTGGACCCACCTCAAAAGACGTGTGGATCCCACTCAAAATTAGGCTCAAAGTTGGCCCAAAATAAGCCTATAAAAATCAAATTTCCAACAATCCCCCAAATAAATGGAATTTGACGGAAAGAAAATGCAGCAACATGATCTAATTACAGAGAGTACATATATTAGAAATATTCTGCAAAGGATAGGTAGCTTTTGGCTTTGAACCTTCCCTTGTGAGACACTATCGAATTTACTAGCTAACCAGTGAACATAATGTCTTGAATTGTTCAGCCGTTTGTGTAAACCAAGACAATAGAACTCACACAGTATATTACTAGACATAGTTTAGTTCTCACTATTGTGTTCATTTTGGCCCCAAACAATCTGGTCTTTCATGAGTGCTCCAAAAACTTGTAGCCCTTCACAAATCTCATAGAACCGGCCTAGTTCACACTCATATAGGTGATTCTTATGAAGAGTATCTTGCCATACTCCATTAGGTATTCTTAGATATAAGAATCATTAAAAGTATTACTTAACCTAAACCACTGCAGACATCACTATTTCATCATAGAAATGAGTAGGAGTTTGACTCCCCAGTGATCCTTTTGAGTCATACACAACTTGATTGTCCCCTTGAATCTAGATCTTGGGATCTCCAGTCAACTAGGTTGGGTTGCCGTTCTGGTAACTCTTATTTAATAGGCTTAAGTCCTATTCCCCTCGATGAATTCTCAACTAGCTCTCTTGCTAACCCTTTGGTTAGTGGATCCGTTATGTTGTCTTTAGACTTCATATATTCAATGAAAATAATTCCGTAGAGAGTAGTTGTCTCACGGTGTTATGTCGATGACGAATATGTCGTGACTTACTATTATACATATGACTCTGTGCTTTACTTATTGCCAATTAACTATCACAATGTATGCATATAGCAGGCATTGGTTTTGGCCACATTAGAGTATCTTTAAGAAAGTGGCGAAGCCATTCTGCTTCTTCCCCAACTTTATCTAAAGCTATGAATTTTGATTCCATAGCAGACCTAACAATGCAAGTCTGTTTGGAAGATTTCCAAGATACAGCCGCACCACCAAGAGTAAAGACATACCCACTAGTGGACTTTGAGTCTCTAGTATCCGATATCCAATTTGCATCATAGTATCCTTCAAGTACTGTTGAATATCTAGTATAATTAAGCCTAATATTACGAGTAAATTGGAGATATCTTAGAACCCTTATAATTGCTTTCCAATGTTCTACTCCTGGATTACTCGTATATCTACTTAATTTACTTACTTTATAAGCTATATCCGAGCGAGTGGATATACGAGTAACCTTCTAATGTTTTGGTAATTTTCATACCAAGAATTACATTAGCAATCCTCATGTATTTCATGTCAAAATGTTTATTCAACATTTTCTTGGTAGTTTTGATCATGTCATTATTACTACCTATGATGAGCATATCATCCACATAAAGATATACTATAAGATAGCCTTTTGTTTGTGTTTTTAATATA